TTCTTATAATGGCAAGGCTGCCACGATATACATATTGCCTGCTACTGCATCTTCAGTCTGAAGAGCAGGTCATTGTATTGCAGTTTCTTGTTGAGCACCAGAAATTGTGCATGTCTTTTTCTTTTCTTTTTTGTAAAAGTACTATTTCCACACAGCACTTGGGAAGGGGAATAAATTTCTTTCCCTCTGAAGGTTTAGTGATTTTAGTCTAAAGAATAAGTGAACAATAGATAGGAAATTTTCTTTTCGTGGCTTCAGGTAAACTCACAGGAAGACTAGAAATTCAGGTTTACAGAGAAATGTACAAATGACTACCCTTAAAGTTTTAGACTGGAAGGGAACATAAGCAGGTGAAGGTGAGACCGGCGGTAGTCAGGGATTGTTTTGTTATGCAGATACCCACCCAGCCCCTGTAATCTCTAAGGCAAAGCAAGGTGCCCTGCCCCCTGTTTACAAATGGAGATATATGTAAATGTTGTTTGCCTTTTTACAAAAAGACTACTTTGAAAACATCCTTTATTTATTTACAAAGGTCTTTGGTTTCTCTGAATAATTTAGTGCTGGGGGTTCGGAGTGGAGGATGGATAGTATATGCCTATAATCTATTCTTAAATCATCTGTAGTTTGCTTATAACCATGCAATATAAATACTATTCCAATAACTGTTACAGTGTTGGCTTAAAAAAGGAGCCAGGGTGCTGCTAACCTTTAATCCCGGCACTAGGGAGACATAGGCAGGCAGGTATCTGTGAGTTTGAGGTCATCCTGGTCTCTATAGTGAGTTCCAGGACAGCTGGGGCTATGCAGTGAGATGCTATCTCAAAAAGAAGAGCTGAATGTGTTGATATTCAGCACAGACGGGGACTACATTACATGTCAGCAGCAATTTAGCAACATGAGAAAACGGGAAGCAGTTGGATCTCAAGTTCCAGACCAGCCTCTGACACAGGGATCAGCCTGAGCGATACAGTGAGACCCTGTCTTTAAAAAAAGAAAACAAAAAACAAAACACTTGAGAAGTAGAGAAGAGGGAACTGAAGTTCAAGTTCATCCATGGTTCTGTAGTTCTAGACCAACTTGGGATCAATTAGACAATGTCTCAAAAAAAACTAGCAAAAATTAGCATATGTTAGCAAACCAGACCTAAGGGGTATTTATTCTGAAAGGGTAACTGAAGACAGGTATGATGGCATGTGGCTGTAGTTCTAGAATTCCCAGGGTGCAGAGGCAAGAGGCTTGCCATGAGTTGAAAATCATCCTGAGCTACATGACAAGACCTCCCTGTCTCAAGGGAAAGAAAAGAAAAGAAAAAACAGCTAGAGATGTGGTAGAGTATATCACCTAACATACCTAGGTTTAAACCCCCGAACCACAAAAACAAAGGATGAATCAATCCATCTTGACCAAATGCGATTTTGTCCAAGGACTGCTATATTGGAATCAAACAGTAATCTTTGTCACTCACGTTAAAGTTCTGTGAGCTCCTCAACAAGAGAAATGGTACTTGACTATACTCTGGCCTTTTTATTCCTTTATATGTTATGTTCATGATGTGGAACAAGCCTCACTGAAAACTGAGCGCTAGAATCCAGCACCCTTCGATACACTGTGAGACTATCTCAAGAAAGGAACAGGGCCGAATAAATTCCAAAAGTGATGACTCATTAGAGGAAGTCTCATTGGAAGGAACAAAAGTAACTTTGATTCCTTCCAGACCTAATGGTGGTTAGTAAACTTTGGGGACGGAAGGTAACAGCAGACACCTATCTTTACATTGTGTTGGTTTGGTTTTGGTTTGTTCTTTTGTTTTCTTATTTTTTGCCTTTGGCTGATAGAGTGAACCAAACACTTAACATTTTCTCTTGTTTCCGCATTTTAGTTACAAACAATGTATGAACTCTCTCTACTCCCACCCTCTTGTTTAATGAAGCTAAAGCTTTCTCTGGTGGTCAGCCATAAACTCTCCTTATGAGACTTTCACAGGTCTTGTGAATTTTTTCTTGTCTTTGTGGACAGTAGTGATGCATGCCTTTAATCCCAGCACTTGGAAGGCAGAGGCAGGCGGTTCTCTGAATTCCAGTTCAGCCTGATCTAAAAGTGAATTTTAGGACAGCAAAGGTAACAGAGAAACCCTGTCTTGAAAAAGAGAGAGAAGAAAGAAACCTAAACCAGATGCAAATTTCAGGACAGCAAAGGTTACACAGAGAAACCCAGTCTTGAAAAACAAGAAAGGAAGAAAGAATCCTAAACCAGAGGCTCACACCTATAATCTCAACACTTAGGAAACTACAAGAAAAGAATTGCCATGTAGCCAGGCTACAGAGACTGTCTCAAATAGAAAATAAAAGTAAATAAAAAATAATGGTCTGCTTTTATTATTATATTCAGCTGGGGTGTGTATGTGTGTGTGTGTGTGTGTGTGTGTGTGTGTACGAGTTTGGGGAGTAATTGGGCTTGGCAGCAAGTGCCTTTTCCGGCCACAGACCCTATATTTTCTGATTTATATAAACTGTTTTTGCATTTTTCCAAACATGTTTTGTTTGTGCATTTCCCCACCAATGGACTACATTGTGATTTCTCCTAGCTCCACAGCCAGAATAATGCTGACAGCGCTTTTGGTGCAAGCCTCCTGCTGTCCGTGTCAACTCTTCTAGGAAGTGTACCTCGAAGTGGTTTTGCTGAGTAGTGAGATCTGTGCTTTAAGCCATCCCAGACTCTGCCTTGTTACTTTTTAGAACCAACGATATGTTCCCACCCTTCTTTTTTTTTTTTTTTTTTTTTTTTCCAGCACTGGGAGTTGAACCCGGGGCCTTGGACACAGTAGACAAGGACTCTGCCACCCAGCTACACTGCCAGCTCCAGAAGATTTTTATACTAAACTCTGAACAAAACATTAGGATGATTTTGTTCAGAGCAGGGTGTGGCTTCTGACTTCCCTGGTTCCCCTCCTTTGGTGGCAGTGGTGCTAGTGGGGTTTGTTTGCTTTGGTTTGGAAGGTTGCCATAGAGTCTTGAATCCTTCCTACCTTCCTACCTCAGGTGTGTGTCGGTACAAGCTTGAAGATCCTGGATAAGTGATTTAATT